TGACAGGACAGTCATCAGAGCTCCCACCAATCTATTTACTGGAGAAATATAAAACAGCACCTGGTGGCAGAAGGGAGAGGCGTGGGAGGGTGTGAAAGAGAATAAAGGGGAATTAGGGAGAAGAAGAAAATGAGAAAAATTAAAGTTTCACTTAAGCAAAGATAGACAGAACACATGCAAAATATTCAAGACATCACTTTTTATGTTATTTTAGAAAGGCTGCTTACCAGCAACAGCTCTTGCAACAGTTCAAAGTAAATACTGAAATATGTTTATTGTATTCTAAAAGTTTAAGATATTTGTAATATATGGTTTATATATATACACACACACACACATAATATATACTTGTCAATCAGATTTTTCTGTCAGTCATTCTGATTTTTTTTCCCAAATTGATCCAGTTACTGAATGACAGAGAAAAAAAGTTGTTCCTGGCACATGGCATAAATTCTTGCTCATTTGTAGTACATTAAAAAACTCTGTTATAAATCAAAGAGGCCAAATAATCATCATTCCAGAATTCTGACAAAAACCTATGCAAAAACATCTAAGAAAATACATTAAAGATATGCAGATAAATGAAAAACAGGATAAATGCATCATACATTTATTACAAGTCTCTTTCTGTGATTGAAAAAAGAGATTTTTTGGAAACAGATGACTGATATTAACTTTGGTAAGGCACTTAGGGCCTAACATGGGAAAACAGAATCTCCTTAATTAAATCAGAGAGACTGGGATTAGTAAATTAGTAAGGAATTAAAAAATGGATGTCAAAAGCTAGGACTGAAAGAATAAACACAGGGCAGACTGAGTATTGCTGCTGGAGTTCCTCCAACACAGACCTTTAAGGGGGAAGGAAGAAAGAAAAAAAGAAACAAAAAGAAAAACCAACCCAAATCCAACCCCCCCCCCCATGAAAGTCACCTTGTTTAACAATGTCATTTTTACATCTGCAAGCTGTACAATACTAGTAAAAAATACACGAGCATTACAAGGAATCAACAGTGCAAGGGAATACAGAGCAATTTAACTCTGTGACTTTGCAGGCCAGTTTAATACGTGCATGACGAAATTAAAAGTGGAAGTTTGCAGACTGAGACTTAATAAGAGACTTCTGCTGTAAGCTAGGAAGACACTTCAGAAGTGACTAATGAAAAATAATTCACGTTCCACTCCTGTCTGCAGGTCTACAAGCTAGTGAATGGACAGAACCAAGAGAAAAAAACCCCTGCGCAGTCCTACCACATACCAAACGATGTTTAATGGTACCTCAGCTAGAGCAGAGTATGTATATTATCTTGTACAATTTCTCTTTTTCCTATGTTCAAGTCAGGTGAATTCAAATTGCAACTGCAGAAAAAGCATGATGAGAAGAACAACCCACTCATCTGAGGAAAGGATTTCAGCTCACTCCAACTGAAGTAAAAAAGTCTAACTTCTTTTAACATGCTGCTCTATAATGCACGTGTACAAGATGCACGATATAACAGCAGTGAACCACAACACAAACCCTATGATACCCCTACAAGTATAGATTCTCAGACACTCTGTATTCTTAGCCAAACTTATTTTGAAGCCTACAGAAATAATTATTAAGTCTATAAAGAATTACCTTGTTTTCAATAAATCTGTTTCAGTCTGGGCTTTTGTTTGGATACACTGCTTACTTAAGCGATAGAATAAATAGAGAAAAGTACTCAAGTCCCTCCGCCGTCTTTCCGCCTACATGAGTGCACACTTTCTGACCCCTCCCAACTCTGTTATGTGGCCTACAACATTTACATCAGCAAACTGGGTGGTCTTGGCAGCAGAAAGTCATCACCATCTGGAAGTAGTCTTATAGCCTAACAGCAGCCAAGAGGTAAAAAAAACCAAACAAAACAACCTTTAGTCTTAGGAAAGGCATCAACCAAATTGCTAAGGATTAAAGGAAATCTGTCCGTGGAACTCAGGCATTTTTCAGCTCAAGGAAAACTGGCATTACTACTGGCTTCTAGCATATTATATTTAAGGTCTTTGAACATACAGATTCCCACAGTTGCTCTGGAACCTTAAAATCTGCCAGAAAACAGACAGTGACAGAAAACCAAAACGCTTGCTTTTGAAATTGCAAGTGTTGTCTTCCTGTTTCAGCTTAGGGAAAAACAAAAACAAAGCAACTTGCAGGTTTATTCAATAAGCATCCAGTTATTTTAAAAAACAATTTCATATGCTTGAGTCATATGAAAATACATTAAACCTTCCCCAGCCCCTCTTCCTGTGCATTTATGTCGTGTGGTCTGAGCAGCTTCAGAAAAGAACTGTAGCTCAGTGTTTTGTTTATCTACATCCAAATGCTGGGCTGACATGATGAAATGCTATCATAGACTTTTAAACATATCAGTAGAGACACTTTATCAAATCTTAACTGGAAAATATTTCTTCCACTTAATGGTTTTTAAAAAAATAAAAATCATCACTGTAGAGTTTCAAAATATATTAAGTTATTTTGGGGAAAAGGCTTGCGTATCAAGTCTTGATTACATACGTTTCTACATGTGTACTCCTACTATGTCATACTCATTTTCCCAAGTATACCTTCTGCATAGCCTTTAATATAGCAGTCTTTAGCATGTGGCTCTTTAATGCAGAAACTGCATTTGTAATAAATAAATATTTATCAATAAACACTTAGAATGGTCAAGGTATATCTAACTTACAGAATTAAGTGACAAGTGCAGAAGCTTTGGAGAAGCTGCTACTTCTGCTTTTAAAAGCCACATTTACTGCCTCACAAGAGATACCTAGGCCTTGGATACAGACTTTAAAAAAGCACACAACTGTTTTGATGTCTTATAGATTCAGTCCTACGGACATTCCAGTTGCAGCTAACAGAAAATTCTCATGTTCCTTCCTAGCACTCTGAAGAAGCTGGGTTTTAATATGGGAGGTTCACTGAAGAAAAAGTGACATTTGGGAAACCAAAACACAACTTTAAATGAAAAGTTTGAAAAAGCAAAACAACAACAAAAAAGTCCCTGTGTAAATGTGTCTGGGAGCTGATACATAGTAATTTAGCTGAAAGTTCTTGTTCCAGGTATTAATATACACACAGAAGAAAACAACTGTATCTACTACTTCACATCTGCTTGTACATTCTGCATATTCCACTAAAATTGCTAAGATAGCATTGCTTCTGAGGTTGTAAGATAGCTCAAAGAAGACACAGCCTACAATTCAGCAGTTTTACCAATTTATAATCTGAGTTCAGCCAGACCTAACAGATAGAGCTCTTATACATTGTCTCCTGCAGGTGTCTGTGCAATTCAGGTCTGAAGGACACTTTTAACACTTGTTTCCTTTGCTATGCCTACTTAAAGCCCAAACCAGAAGTTCCACTTACTGAATCCCTGTAAAGCTGTATGCTCCCTTTCAGGAACGGGCATTTCCGATCAGTTTCTTCACAAAGGTACCTAATTGCATTATGTGTATCCTTTCCTATCTTTTACAATATGCTAAGTTTCTCCACTCGCACTTAATCACATTTTACTTACTCTGGCTGGTACAGCTAACAATAAGGCAGAATGTGGACAGAAGTGGAGGCAAATTTATACATCAACACGCAGCAGTTACTTTTAGCACAATTTCCCAATTTACATATGGATGCAAAGTTGTTGATAAGACTTCAGATAATTTTAATTTATTTTACTTTCATTGTTTTTTTCTAGTATATTCTACATGATTTCATATGAAAAAAAATTAACGGTTGCGTTTCTACTTCAATTACCTGCCTCAGCCTACAAAATGTTACCTTTTTCTCTAGAAGAATCAATTTAAACAGGATCAAGACCTGAAAAAAATCCAAAAAGGAAAAATATGGTGAGTGAACCAGTGCCATTTATAAAAAATACTGTGCAAACAATCTCTTATTGAAGATTTCATGTTAATCACTGCATAACTGTGAAGTGATCAGATACATTTGACCAGTGAAACCCAGCGTTCCAATACCCTTTCTCCACCTGAAAACTCATTTTAAAATAGTATTTGAGATGCACAAATAAAAACCTGCACAAACAAAAACTGTGTAATTTGTATCATATGAAGCTTATCAGAAAGAACACGTATAATTCCAGAATTTTAAAAAACAGTAAACTGCATAAACATGAAAGAGCTCCTCCACAGAAATACAGAGAAGAATTCAGCAAGATGCCAAGAACAGCATTCACCTCACCTAATTTTAGGCAGCTACAGATCAGGCATCTAGATCAGAAATCGCTGTCCAGACTCTCTACACTCAAAGAAAAACACAGATGCTTCTGAGGCATGACTGGCAGACATCTGAAGCTAAACAAAAATGAGTTCTACCCCAAAAATTTACAGAGCAGGTGGAAATACACCATGAAATCCAGATTCTCAAATTTGTTTCCTTGATGTCTCTTAGTTAATAAAAGATTCTAAATGCTATTTGTAGCATTAGGCATAAGATACATACTCAGTTTCAATAGTTGTTAGGAAAAAGAGTGGTGCAAAGTCTCCTGAGGTTTATGATGGCAAAAGCTGCAAAAATTACAAGATACATGGAAAAATGCTCCAAGTTGTGCGCACAGACATTAGCAATATTCTTCTATCACGTTTATCTGACAAGCAGGAGGAAACGGAAACAAGACCATAACTGAGATACCACTTGCACTTTGGGACAGGACTAAAGAAGTGTCGGACAAACCTAGAAATCTCCAGGGATTCCAGTAGACAAAGATTCTGTCTGGAACTCACTTTCACAGAAGTTACGTAAGCGCAGGGGAAGGGAAATCAGGAGGCTGAACCAGAAGTACTTAGGAAACAGTCTTCTTACTCCTAGCTCAGGTATGTCTAGACATTTATTTTTCAGTTCCTCACAACACATTTTACTCCCCAAAGTAAGTGATGTACTTTATGCATCACGCAGAAGACACCTACCTTGTGTCTAAAGTGAAGAACAAGATCCCGAGGAGACAGACCTGAGACACCAAAAAGAGAGCAATTAGTACAGTTTAATAGCTAGCAGAGATACTAACTTACTTCTTGAAACCATTTTTCAGGGGAAGGGGGACACTCATTATGCATTCTGTGTAAACCTGGTTATTTCAGTAACACAACTTATTAAAATATTTCTTTTTAGCAGGAGCAAGTGTTAAATCTACAATGGAGACACTAATAACGTGAATAGGCACACTCCAAGTTACACCCGTTGGCTGACACACAACATTATGGAAACACTGAAGCAAACAGCACACTGTGCATTCAGAAAACATAGGAAAGAGTCATAATCAAATGAGGGATAACCCAAATAACAGGTAGGTGAGAGATTGAGCACCATCGAGAAATTCTATCTAAAAATTCAGAAGGTACTGTTTCCCAAAAGCAGCCAAGCAGTTGCTTGTCAAGCTAGGTCAAGAAGTAACATGACTTTCAACCTATAACTAATTCCTATTAGGAAAGAAACACTACATTTATTTGAGTCCGCTAATAAAAAATGGCATAACAGAATACTGTGCAGGCACACAAACCTCTGCTGCTTTATCTGTTAATGCACATAAACAAATCAGCTCAGGAAGGGAATGTGTTGATTAGCGTAACATTATCTCTGCTGCTTGTACAAAGCAAGTCACTTACCAAGATAAACTTGTGACCCTTCTAGCAAAGTACTGCCCAAAGAACTATTCATATGATCATAAAGTTCCTGTAGAAGTTAGAACAAAGGCAAAAAAACCCAGAAGCCATTAATGGCACATCGTCACACAAAATCCAGAACAGATAAAATTAATTTATTCAAGTATTTCAACATCTTATTCTAGAAAGAAAGTAAAACTTTACTAGTGGAGTCAATGGAGAGACAAGGCTGACAATCGTGCTCATTCTCATATTTCACTACAAGTCAGAAAAATGACCTTCTGTCAGATTAGGGTAGTTAATTTAGTTCACATTAAGTTATTACAAGAGCTGAATAACTGAATGACCTATGCAAATGAAATATTTGAGCACTAACTAAAACCACTGAAGTTTGTAGTCATACATAAAAAGCTTTGTTCTGTTTGACTATTACTTAAAAGTTACCTTTAGAATTGAAATTTGCGAGAAGTCTTTTTCTTCAAAATATGCATGTGTAATGAGTTGCAGCTTTGCCTGAAGTAACCCATACAAAGGCTTGGAAGATAAACAAACACAAAAGCAAGTGAAGAAAACTTATTTAGTCACTCATTTTGAGCTTTAATCTTCTTCCATTCTTATCTTGCAATATAGGCACATTATTACACATAGAGCTCATGGAGTGGCAGTCCTTAGTTGCTAACTTGCAGCATCTTTCTCCTGTGCTCATTTTAAATGATAATTCTATTTTCTTTCCATTTGCACATACCATACCATCACTGAACATGGAAACTTATCTTTCTGGAAAAGCACTTTCCGATTTTAACACTCTTTGTGCAGCTCCAGTAATAATTCTTTCTTCAGCTTTAAGCACAGAACTAATTTCTGTTCCCTGCCTGGTGAGCAGTAGCTGTTGCTAAATAGGCAGAAATACAAAAACAAGAGTGTGCTGTATGTGTGAGTATGTGAAGGACAAAGAGGTCCAAGAAGGCTGGACATTCTTCAAGAACAGACTTGTGAATGTCCAGGTGACACAGTGGGTCATTAACCACTTCCTCCTGGATTATGGGGGGTTTATTCTGCTCCCCCTTCCTGTCTTCCAGCTCAGAGGGGTGAATTTGAATGATTCTATGATATTAAAATCTCTTTCACAGTTATCCATAGTCACTCTCTCCAGTTATTTTAGTGGCCAAACCCCTCAATCCTAGTACATGAAATACAGTTAGTAGCACTTAAGAATAAGCAAAAGTGCAAACGGATATCCTGGTCCCTCACAACAGGCACTTTTACAATTACTCTCACAAGGAAATACCAATTCAAGGCGACACACTCAGATCCCATAGCCTTTTGATTCAATTTTACTTCTGCATTTTGTTACCCTCCGCAATGATTTAAAGGGAGACAGTTGGAGCAAAAAGTTCCAGATAAATAATAATAAAACCAAATCATTTTTAATGTGTTATTTGAAAGTGTTTTGGGAATTAAACATTCTTACCAGCTGACTGAGAACACAGACGCTTTTCTGTACTGTTTCTCGGGTGATGTCTGCTTGCCGTACTTTTAATGCCTAGGAAAGAGAAGTATTACAGCATTTTTATCCACACACAATTTCAAAAATAATTTTCACGGGTCTAGTTGCCACATACCACCCCCCTATTTATATAAAATCCTAAAACTGACTGCCTTCAGTGGTGGAATATCCAAGTCATGCAATAATATTGCCAGACCAAATGGTTCCAACAACTAACAGCAGACCTGAAAAGAGTAGGGGCAGAAATACAGCCAAGTGATTCACTTAATTGTACAAAACAGCAAGTGTGCAGACCACAGTCCACACATCAAAAAGTTTGAGTGCTAGAGCTGTCATATGAAAAACATTGGTTTTATATTCTACTTGTTCCAAAGAGTTCATTTTAAATGTCTATTTATCTTCTTATTTGGTTACTAAACAGCATAAACTGGAATCAAGAGCATGATAAAGCCAAATTATTGCACAGTTAAATAGAGAAAAACTCTAAATCACAGAATACAGTGAAGACTGGCTGCAAAGATAATGCGTGAACCAAAATCAATATGGATTTAGTTCAAAAGAAACAGAAATAATATCCGCATGTGTAACATTTTTCCCATAGCATAAACAGCAACTCGAAATGTAATCAAGGTATGATTAACACTAAAACAGATTATATAATTTACATCTTCTGAATACAAGGCTCATTTAAAACTCAAACCGAAATGGCATTCCAGATCCTTGGCATTTCACTGAAAAGGGGAGTAATTTTAAAAGACATTTCGAATAACTTCTCAATTGTTAGTGCACAGATATTACCATTACTGCTTTTGAAAATATGGGCAGATCCTAGTAGATCGAGTACATAAATTCTTCAGTGAGATCAGGTGCATGCTGTAGCTCATCAATTTTCCAGCTTTATAGCCTAAAGTTCAGTATTGGTAAGCAGCTACACTGAATGGGAAGATTCTGGTCTACTCTGCAAGTCTAATTTTGGAAAGGAGGTAGTTGAAGAGACATCTCTATACTTGCATGGTCAGATCACAGGAAATACTCTAAAATTCTACATGGTCACACACTGGAGAAATTTCACTTTTTCCACTCATGAAGAAAGCTTTCCTACTTCCTGAAAACATGACTTGGCTGCCTGACACTGTCAGCTTTGTTTTGCTACTTGGTGCTGTGGCCTGGATTAGCTCTCAACAACCAAAACATATTTTTCAATTGCCTTGAGCACTAAGTGGAGCATCTCCTTTATGAAGAGTGGCTGAGGGAGCTGGGTCTCTTTAGCTTGGAGGAGACTGAGTGGTGACCTCATTAATATTTATAAATTTGTAAAGGGCGAGTGTCAGGGGGAAGGAGCCAGGCTCTTCTCAGTGATGTCCAATGACAGGACAAGGGGCAATGGGTGCAAGCTGGAACATAGGAGGTTCAATCTGAACATAAGGAAAAATTTTTTCACTGTGAGGATGACAGAGCACTGGAACAGGCTGCCCAGAGAGGTTGTGGAGTCTCCTCTGGAGACATTCAAAACCCGCGTGGACACGTTCCTGTGTGACCTGGTCTAGGTGATCCTGCTCTGGCAGGGGGGTTGGACTGGATGATCTTTTGAGGTCCCTTCCAACTCCTAATATTCTGTGATTCTGTGATTTCAACAGATCACAATGTGCCTGCTGATGTAACAGAAAGAAACGGTTCCCAAATTCTGTAGCTACCTACTGTGCACATTTTCATGGATTTTTAATGTAAGCTGATCTTGCAGTTTGACTGTTGGTGTAATGCAAGTTACTGAATTTTTGTGGCCATTAATGCATCAAATTTCATTAATATAATTCACAACTTGGAAAGTTACCTTTGCTTCAATCTGCCTATAGCAAGAGACGCCATATACTGTGGTTCGATCCTCACATCTCGGTGGCAAATGAAAAAACACAGTATCTATGAAAAAGAAAAGACTGTTTTGTAAGTCACTAACAAGAGTTCAGAATTTCTGTTTTTAGCATTACTTATTTACAAAAGGTTTACCACTGAAAATACTGGCACACTTACTTTGAGACTAAAAAAAATAAAACTAAAAAATAAATAAAAATAATCTATAACACTGTGCCTGAACCCAAATTAGTTTCCAAATTGCAAGATACTTCGTGGAAGAATCTCCAGCTGTGCTGGATATTCTCAACCTCCTGCTTAGTCTGACCAAGCTCCTAGAGGCCCACTGACAGTTTCTCAGTAGCAGCTATTGACAGCAGAGAAGCACCCGCTGAAACCTTCAGGCACGCTGCTTTCCCAGTGCTGTATGGAGGAGCAAAGACAGGGCACTGTGTGGCAAGGTGTACAGTTGGGAGTGTCGTGCCATTAAGGACGTAAATGCAATGAAGATAGGGAAAAAAACAAAATCACCACGGAGAACATATACAACTGAAAGAGAGTAGCTGCTACCACTGCCGAGGTACATATCCATGCACCAGCATCACTATGCTAACCTCAAGGATTTGTGCATCCTAGTCTCACACAAAATAATTACTGTCTCTGGGCACATGTGACACGAAAGAAAAAAAAAATCTCCGTAAAACATGACAAGCGAAAGGCTTTTATGGCTTGTGATATTTGCACACATACATACAAACACACACTTGCAACTGCTGCAAAAAAGTTGCTAAATTCCAAGCACAGGAGAGGACATTACGACTGTTTGCCTTTCAAATCATGAATGAAAACTGTTTTGAAACTACTGATTTTTTGTTTGCATCATGGTAACAAAATGAACAGAGCAGACAACCCCATATGCATTAAGTCCAAGAGAAAGAGGGACTGTTTATAACAAAGCTTACTCCCTTGAACAAGTTTAATTATATTATGGAGATCACCAAAGGTTTCAGAAAGCCTTTAAGACTATTTCCTGTACCAAGTCATCCTCTTTCCAAAAATTCAACTATCATTGGGAATTAGTTTAAAACTCAAAAAAGAGACATCTAATAAAATTACAGTAAATGTAACATAACTATTATCTGAAACATATTTTCCTGTTTCAAGTTCATGTGCATTCTTGCCTATAAAACACAAGGATATAGATCAGTTCTGTTGCCAAGTCTTTTTTTTGTTTGTTTTACTTACCATAAGATACACATTGATAATCTTTTAGGGCAGCAATAAAAATGCTCAAAGTTGAGCATTAACTGGGATGGTACTGAGCCAAGAGAAATTGAGTAGGTGCAGTTATGTATGGTTTTGCTAGCTTTGAATGTGGCCTACTTCTCATTACATATTTGACAACGCAGAAATTGAACAAAAATCATGACCCCAGAGCAGAGTCAGAGAGACTCTAACTGCTGCTAGGAAGGGAATTACTTTGATATGACTTCCTCTGCTTCCAAATGAGGTCTCAGGAAGCTGGAGAATTAGGGAGTTAAGTACATCAAATTAAAAAAAATAAAATAAAAAATTTAGAAGTAATATTAAGGAGTTTTGCTGTTTTAAATTACTTCCTTGTTCACTGCTCTGCAGAGAAAAAGATGAAACTACTGAACATGCATTTAAATGTCATGATGATGACCTAAACTGCTGTCAAATCAAAAAATAAATGCAATACAAAACAAACAAAAAAATGCAGTCAACTTGCTGGTAACTACATGGCAAGGGAATCAATCTACCTTCATTCTGCTTACAAATACACTAAAGCTCCCGTTCCTGCCCTTTAGAGTCACCGGCTTTCAAAATGCATCATTCTACAGACATTGAATGACTTGTAGGTCATTCTAAGAATCTCGACATTAGCGGAGTAAAAAAAATTATAA